GAAGGGCGAGGGAGTCTTAGCTTTAAATTCTCACCATTTTCAAGGCTAATAGAATAATAATAATAGATAAGGAACAGTCCTCCTTATCCTTGGCTAAAAGTGCAGACGCAGCTGTAACCTCAGGAAAATCAGAGACGGACTCTGAAAGAAAGGGTGTGAAAGCACACTTGTGGCCCCTGCATTCTGTCTGCTATCATAAATACAAAAAACATAAATACTGTGCTTATGTGATTATACAAAAAAAATAAATATGAAAAATGAAAAGTGTTTAAGAGCAGCAACAGTACTATGAGATATACATCACAGTTCAAGAGTAGCAAAAATATATCTGATATATGCAGTTGACATACCAGTTCTGAACATATTTTGCTTTACGTTGATTGATTTTAGTGTAGCTTTTCTCTTATGCTAAACTATACAGTATGTCAGTTGTTTGAATAAATGATGAGTTTTGATCTTCTGAGCTCATGGATGTACCTTTGATTTATTCACTGATGGTGGTTGTGATTCATTTCTTTCAGTTGAAGAACACGGAGTGTGAAAAGTGGAGCAGAATTTCAAAACCCAATCACTGTCATATCATAATTTCATTTTTAACTACTTATGTCAGCTGGATCAGTCCACGGCGCCGTGGTAGTTCATTGAAAACTACAAGCCGACAGCCGCTAAGGCTGTCGGGACTTGCATTTCATTCATTCACGGAAGTCCGTGAATGAATGATGTGGCCGTGTGGGCGGAGCCCCGCACAGCCATGCTGTTTTCAAATAATTCACTGAACTCTGTCCGAACAAGAGTCTAGTAAACATCCCGGGTATGATAAAATTTGAAACACGAAATCATAAATTATAATAAATAATCATAAAAAATAATAATAATAAATTTAATTCAATAATATAATCAAACCAAAACACTGAAATTTTAAATATAGCGCCAAGTTCGCACATCACTGAGCTCAGTCGCAGAACCGTTTTCAGTGTCTGATGACGAATTTCCCCACGATACATTATCACTCAATTCTACAAGTGGTTCTAATTTACTATCTCTGTTCTCTAGCTGGTCTAAAACCGCTTTTGACCTAAAGGGACACTTTTTGGACACCATGGATGTTTCTCAGTTTCCAGGCAGAAAGAACAGTAACGGCTGAGGCCCCAAGCCTATGGGGGAGACTGCCTGCCTGTCCTTGAAGACCCCCCATGCCTGGAATTGTCCCTTGTTTGCGCACACATCACCCTCCCTGCCATTTCCCCATTGAGTGTCTGTCATTTTGTTACTTTAATAAAGTTTTGTGTGTTCCCCACCTTCTCTGTGTGCTCTGTCTTGCCTGCGCTTCCGTTACACTGAGTAAAAATGCAGGCAGGGCACAGGACAAAGCACTAGGAACAAAATGAATGTGAAATGGTTTGATACAGTAATGTTTTACTATCAGATTTTATTGTATTTAGTGAATGTCACATTTATACATTTTTTAATGTCCCGCCGGTTCCATCCCCGTATGTCCCGATGCTTCCAGGGAATGGAACCCAGAAGACGGATGCCGGCATCGGCCGGAGGACGCTGCAGCAGGGACATCACAGGAGCGCAGGACAAGGTAAATGCTGAAGGGATCCCGGAGCAACGCTGCAGTGTAAAACCGAGTGTAGTTCAGGGTTACCGCTTCTGGTACTGAAACTTAACCCCGAGCTACACTCAGGAATACCGCCAGGGGGGTTAAGAACTTTGGGATATGATGCACAACAATCTTACCCCTCACATCTCACAATACAATACGTGTTTATATTAACATCAGCTGAATAAAATGATTTATTAACATGAACATATTCTACCTTTCTTCAAAAGTATTTGTGAGTCTTGCACAGTCAGTATGGTAACATTGAGAGATTGATTTAACAAGAGCACCAATGCATGGGCTCATGTGGGACAATAACTTAATTCAGTCATTATTAAAGTGGTACTAAAGTCAGAACATTGTTTACCTTAATGTATTCCTTGCATTAAGGTAAAAGAGTCCCACTACTTGTTATGCCCCCTCCTCCATAAACACTTACCTGACTCACTGATCCAGCGGTGCCCCATCTGCAGCAGTGCTGCTCCCTCTTCTGCTTCTTACAGGAGATACTGAGGGTAAGAGGAGCCATTGCTGCTGCTACTGGCAGTCAAATTATGTGAGGAAGAAGTGGGGAGTAATGTAAGGTTATGCACTTGGGGGCTAAGAATACGCATGCATCATGCATACTAGGGGGAATACAACTGGGGGAATCAATGGTGGAGAAGGATCTAGGAGTTCTGGTAGATCACAAGCTTAATAATGGCATGCAATGCCAAGCTGCGGCTTCTAAAGCGAGTAAAATCCTCTCTTGTATTAAAAGAGGTATAGACTCCAGAGAGAGAGATATCATATTACCCCTGTACAAATCATTAGTTATACCTCATCTGAAATATGCAGTTCAGTTTTGAGCACCAATTCACAAAAAGAACATTGGGGAACTGGAGAAAGTACAGAGAAGGGCAACCAAACTGATAAGAGGCATGGAGGAGCTCAGCTATGAGGAAAGATTAGAGGAACTGAATTTATTCTCTCTTGAGAAGAGGAGATTAATGGGAATATGATCAACATGTATAAATACATCAGTGGTTCATATAGTGAACTCGGTGTAGAGTTATTCACCCTGAGGTCATCACAGAGGACAAGGGGGCACGCTTTTTTACTTCTGGAGGAAAAGAAATGTAATCTCCAAACACAGAAAGTTTCTTCACAGTAAGAGCTGTGAAAATGTGGAATAGACTCCCTCAAGAGTTGGTTCTGGCCAGCTCAGTGGATTGCTTTAAAAAAGTCCTGGATTCTTTCTTAGATACACAGAATATAACTGGATACTAACATTTATAGGTACAGTTGATCCAGGGAATATCTGATTGTCTCTCGGGAGATCAGGAAGGAATTTTTTCCCCTGCAGGAACAAACTAGATCATGCTTTGCTTGTTTTTTTTTGCCTTCCTCTGGTTCAACTATGGGTATAGGATTATAACTTTTTTTTTTTTTAATGGTTGAACTGGATGGACTTTTGTCTTTTTTCAGCCAGACTAACTATGTAACTATGCAACTATGGAGTGCGGCTGAGGCAATCTGTATGTATCTGTGATGCACCCAACCAAGTCTTATAAATAGACTCTAGTATGTTGTACCATATTAACTGCATTTTTGTAGGGAGGGAAAGGAGGAGTTGCATTGGTTCATTTGCATTGAATCGGCATAACCAACTAGTAATTGCTGTGTGACTTAAGATTACAATATAATGAAAAAAAAAGGTAAGTGCCAGCAGTGGATAGTTATGAGGTGACTAAACTTTTTTCTATTAGGAGTGTTTAACTGTACATGGTACATTTGAGTAATAATTTCATAGATCTTGTTCCTAGTAAATTATGCAATTAATCTCGGCAGCAACTTCTACTATTAATATCAGCTGAAAAGGCTTTGAAGGTGGTTGTATAATGATGCCATGCTTAGATGATATTTTAATGAGTATTCAGGAGACCTCATACTGCCATAACCCTTTCACTTTTTAGTGTGAAACTCTTTGAAACTTTTGAATCCCTTTAAACATTTCTAAGCAGGAAGGTGATACATGGCAATTCCAATGTGATTGTAAAACAGAAGTTTGTAAGACATGCTGGCATATGGTTTCTTTAATTGCTGATCATTTATTCTGTCTTTCTATTTTTAGGAGTGGTTGATGGAAAAATGGGTCATACATAGCACAGTAAAAGTAAGGCAATGTTAGACACTCTGAAACTTTAGTATAGGTATTTTTCTATATACAGTATATGTATGTATGATCATCATAAAGCAAACCCTGTTATAAAACAACATGCTGTCAAATGTCCCTTGCAAAAGAGTAGTATGCTCACATCTCTCGTAGCCCGTGTCTTCTTCCTACTTTTGTTCCAGCATTGCAGTCTCCACCAGTGTCTTCAGCATTCAAGACTTCTGGGAATGTCAGATGCCTGGGTCCCCCCACTGTGTGTTAGTTCCTTCTCTGAACCTCTACATCATTGCTGTGTACGGCAATTAAAAACAATGTCACACTTTTGCACTAGACACCCACAAGTATTGAATTATTCTACAAGAATATATAGGCGTACACCTGAGGACATGCATGCACACGAAACGCATTGGGTGGAGCCACCATTTGCTGACGTCACGCCGCCGATGCCGATGGTCAAAGCGGTGGCCATCTTGGACAAGGACTGACTTCCCATCTGAGTGCCCAGGACGAATTTAGTCTGGTTTAACCCTGTGGCTGCCTTCTATTCTCAGATGTTTATTGCTTGATTGCCTGTTATCAGTTCAGTGGATTCTTTTGTGTGATCATCAGCACATTTGCACTCTGCACCTTAATTATACTGCGTCTCGTGGTTTCATGGACAATTGCTTCCATTTATGAATATTTGACTATATAAATAGCATGTTTAACCACTTCAAGTCCGGACACTTTTACCCCCTTCCTGTCTAGGCCAATTTGCATCTTTCAGTGTTATCACACTTTGAATGACAATTGCACGGTCATGCAACACTGTACCCATATGAATTTTTTAGCATTTTTTTGAGACAGATAAAGCTTTATTTTGGTGGTATTTATTCACCACTGGGAGTTTTATTTTTTTTGCTATGCAAATGAAAATAATTTGAAAAAAAAAGTGTTTTTCTTATAAAGTTTTGCAAAAAAATAATATTTCATCATAAATCTTGGCCAAAATGTATTCTGTTATCTTTTTAGTAAAAAAAATAATCCAAATTAGTTTATAACCACAAATTATAATTTTTAAACATTTATTTTTACATTTTTATTTGTTTTTTATAATATTATTTATGTTTTTGATTTTTTTTTTAACATACTGTCACCCTAGCAGTACAGTGTCACCATGGTGACACTGTACTACTTGTGGGGGGTGATGAAGATTTTTTTTTTACACTGATTGCTTTTACACCCATAGAGGATGTAAAAGCAATCATTTCTCCTTCTCTCTTTCTTTCTTTCATTCTTGCAGCCATTGAGAACTACTGTGTGAACTGTGATTGGTTACAGCTTGTCACATGGTACAAGGCTGTTGTGAATAGCCTTGTACCATGTGACCTCTGTGATCATTCACAGATTTCACACATAGTAAGCAATGATGTCAGAAGTGACATCTTGTTTACTACTCTGCATGTGATCACTGATTGGCCAATCAGTGATCACATGATCGGGACCTCGCACAGAGGTCCCGTACGACGATCAGCGTTCCACTGTGTCCGGAGGACACAGCGGGCACCAGATCGCGGTGCTGCGCGTTCGCAGGGAGCGCGCACAATCAGGGGGTGTGGAGGCCGATTATAAACGGCCACCCGATCCTGCACTGCCACTGTCCGGCCATTTATATACAATGGCCGAACGGGAGGTGGTTAACCATGGACATTGATGTAGAGTTTTATCCTATTTATATATCTCAGATTTTGTATGTTTATTGTAACATTATTTACTACTGCATGGACATTATTGTATTTAGATTCTGCCCGTGATACACTATATTGTTTGACATTTGCTTTTTGAGCTGTTTAGCTGATATTTTCATGCTTTTTTTACTTGATGCACTTTACTGTTTCACTCAGCTCATTACATTTAAGATGCACTTTACCATATTGTTTGATTTTTAGCTTTCGCATTTACTAATGTTTTTTGCACTTTTGTGTGTTGCACTTTACCATTCCGCAATATATATATATACTTTATTTTTTTAAAGCGCTGCACTTTCTTACATATATATATATATATATATATATATATATATATATATATAGGATGACAGCATAAATCAGCTTTGGTAAGTAGAGCTATCTATGCAATTCTTACAAGATCTTGCTACTGGACTCTCAAATGGTTATATAACATGTAATTCATCCTTGCCAGCAGTTGTGCAAAGCTAAATATACTGTACATTTTGAGTGAAGTTTCCCTTAAGCAGGGGCAGACTGACCATTTGGAAAATCGGGCACTGCCCGAGGGCCCGGGTCAGTAGGGGACCCCATGAGATGCCCCTGGTACCTTTTTCTTAGGCTTTTTTGAGCTTGGGTAAGGACACAGGGGCCCCATGATCCCCTACTGACACAGGGGCCCCATGAGTTGTCAGTCCACCCCTGCCCTTAAGGACATGACAAATGCTCTTTCCCGATAAAATCAATCAATTTTCAAAATGACCCCTTATTTCTTCATTGCTTTGACAGGAGTATGCAGTTTGGTTGATTTACTAAAGGAATAGGTAGATTACGCTGAAACTGTGTTCACTTGGAATACCCAGCGCTGCAAGAGACATTAAAGAAGAGATTTTTTTCTTTCACATGATTAGAATACTGAACACTGAATAAACTTACAGAATTAAATGAAGTGTTTTTGTTCCAAGTATTGGAAAGAGCAGTGAAGGGTTAGAATCAATGTTGCATTTTTATTACTGCATGTGACCTCAGTGGGGAAATTTCCCTTTACTTCCTGGCCCTAGAGACATAATAGGAACAGTGTGGAAAACCTACCTTCAACAGCTGTGAATGAAACATGTGTCCTCATTGGTGGATTTCCCCCCCCCCCCCATTCCTGTTTCAACAATCAAGAAATGGGAGTGAATCAAAAATGTCAGGAAATGCAAGTCTAATTCTCTAACAGATAGAAAAAAATGTTTTGGTGAGAGTTACACTATGTATAATACATGATATATTATATTACCAAATAACATATTTTTCTGTTTCATTTAAGAAGAATGGTTACGTGTCGTGAAGCAATTCTAATTAAAATTTAACTTGTGGATATTTCTTGATATTGTACCATTCAGAAAATGTAAAGTAATGGTAAGTGCACACGCCCACCCCTGTGAGTGTGTGCATAGGACTGTAGGGTAAGATATACTGTATGCTCAAATATTTGTGTGCTCTATGGATTTCAACTGTAGGGATGGAAATCCCACCCAGAAGTAAAAAAAATATTGACATATGTTTGAAATACTACAATTTTGGCCATATTCAATATATTTCAAAATATATTTCAAAAAATACATTTTCAAATATACTGTATAATATAATTTCAACATGCAGTATATATATTTACAAATATATTTCAATACATATACATATATACTGTATATGTATTGAAATATATTTTGAAATACGTATACTGCATATTGAAATGCGTTCATTATATATTACAAAATATATGAAAAATATTTTTGAAAATATATATTTTTTAAATATATCCTTCAGATTTTTTTTAACATATAAAAAAGTCATTTTAACATATATTTCTACATATATTTGTAAATGCATACCAAAAATATAGATTTGTATTGTTAAAGACATACAGTATATACCGTATTTTTCGCTCCATAAGACGCACTTTTTTCCCCCAAAAAAAGGGGGGAAAATGTCAGTGCGTCTTATGGAGCGAATATGGAGCGGCCGGTCCGGTATTTCCACTGCCGCCATGTCAGAATACCGGGCCGGCCGCTCAGCTCTACAGCGGGACCTTAGAGATGACTGCTGACCTTTGGGGAGGGGGGGGAGCGGGTACCTGAATTTGACAGATACCCGCTCCCACTTCCATGGAGTTGTTCTTTCATCTTACCCGTTCCTCTATCCATTCCGCGCGGTCTTCCCGGCTTCTGTAGTGTGGGCATCCGGGTGTCAAGTGCGCATGCGCAAGAAGCGGTGCTTTTTTGTGAATGGTAAGGCGGCACCTGGGACACATGACAGATCCCAGAAGCCGCCGGACCAATCACAAAGTGCAAGTGCTTCTCGCTCATGCGCACTGGGCACCCGGCTGTCATGCCGAGCGCCATTACAGAAGCCGGGAAGACAGCGCGGCTGGATAGAGGAACAGGTAAGATGAAAGAACAACTCCGCGGAAGTGGGAGCGGGTACCTGTCAAATTCAGGTACCGGCTCCCCCCCTCCCCAAAGGTCAGCAGTCATCTCCTGTACTATCCAAAGTCTCTGGTCATCCCTGTACTGTCCGCAGTCTCTGGTCATCCCTGTGCTGTCCGCAGTCTCTGGTCATCTCTGTGCTGTCCGCAGTCTCTGGTCATCCCTGTACTGTGTCCGCAGTCTCTGGTCATCCCTGTACTGTGTCTGCAGTCTCTGGTCATCCCTGTACTGTGTCCGCAGTCTCTGGTCATCCCTGTGCTGTGTCCGCAGTCTCTGGTCATCTTCTGTACTGTGTCCGCAGTCTCTGGTCATCTCCTGTACTGTGTCCGCAGTCTCTGGTAATCCCCTGTACTGTGTCCGCAGTCTCTGGTCATCTGTACTATGTCCGCAGTCTCTGGTCATCTCCTGTACTATGTCTGCAGTCCATTAGTTCAGAATTTTTTTTTTTCCTGTTTTCTTCCTCTAAAACCTAGGTGCGTCTTATGGTCAGGTGCGTCTTATGGAGCGAAAAATACGGTATGTATTTTTAAAAATAGTTCTCATATATTATATATATATATATATATATATATATATATACACACAGTATATATATAAACATATTGAATACAGCCAAAATTGTAGTATTTCAAATACATGTCAATATATTTGGGAAGAATATTTTAAAAATATGTTTAAAATATATTTTTCTTCCATATGGGATGTGCCATTGGAAATATGGGGGCTTTCTTTTTAAAATTAATCTGTAACATCTTTACACAAAACATATAAGGTATGTTGTGTAGAACCTGATGTTTTAATATTTAAACAATAAAATAGATGGAATTGTCATCACCATGGCACCATTTTTAACATATGTAGCTCTCAAGCAACACAGCATGCGCATCATTACATATAGTACATTAACTACCAATTTAAATGCACGTGAATTTATGGTCCACATGTCAGCTATCGTAACATAATTTAATTGTGCAACACAGATGGAAAATCTAAAGGGTAATGTGAGTCATACACCTATTCAAATTGCCTGCAGATCTGATAAGGCTCACTTGTATTTTCTTAACACCATGGAATTAAAACACTTTCCAAGTTCTTGTTACCTAAAGTGGACAATCTAATGCTTAAACGATTATGTTCTCCTTGTGGTATTTTAAAAACAAAGAACAACTGATTCCACTCCAATGATTTACATTCCCTATATAGTATGTTGTACTCTAGTTGACTTTGTAATCCTCTTTCCCCACCAAAGCCTTCTAATTCTATTCACAGTAAAATGCATGAGTCATGCCGCAACTGAAATATACCCAACCTATCATCTGTATCAAAAGTCAGTGCATCTAATTTGTCAAAAACACATTGATGCATATTAATCAGGTAAACTGTTTCTTTGCTCTTTCAAGCAAGATTTCTTGAACTATTTTGGCATTTATTTAAACAGATGAGTTTATTTTATGCAGAATGTCTAGTGAAGGGTACACTGGTATGTAAAGTGGTATAAACAAGGGTATGTACAGAGTGTACAATAAACAAAAGGTTTTAAAAATACCATATTTATTTATTTATTTATTTCAGGTACTTATATAGCGCCATCAATTTACGCAGCGCTTTACATATATATTGTACGCTCACATCAGTCCCTAACCCTCAAGGGTGTACAATCTAAGGTCCCTAACTTACATTCATACATATACATACTGGGGCCAGTTTAGATAAGAGCCCATTGACCTACCAGCATGTTTTTTGGAGTGTTGGAAGAAACCGGAGTACCCGGAGGAGACCCACGCAGGCACAGGGTCCATATATCTCTATTAGTTGCCATATCCCTAGCCATATCATCATAGCCTGTAACAATGGGAAAAATGGAAAGATAACAGGTTAGTTAGCCTTTTGGCCCCCTAGCGTTTTGTCCAATCAAACAGCAGCTCTCCACCCTTAACCACTTCAATTCCGGACACTTTCATGCCCTTCCTGTCCAGGCCAATTTTCAGCTTTCAGCACTATCACACTTTGAATGACAATTGCGCGGTCACGCAACACTGTACCCATATGAATTTTTTAGCATTTTTTTGAGACAGATAAAGCTTTATTTTGCTGGTATTTATTCACCACTGGGATTTTTATTTTTTTGTTATATAAATGAAAAAGTCCAAAAGTTTAAAAAAAAAAAGTGTTTTTCTTATAAAATTTTGCAAGTAAATAATCTATCTTCATAAATCTTGGCCAAAATTTATTCAATTATCTTTTTAGTAAAAAAAAAATAACCCAAATTAGTTTATAACCAAAAATTATATTTTTAAAAAAAAAAATTTTTACATTTTTTTTTTTTTTTTATACTATTATTTATGGGGTTTTTTTTTACCCATACTGTCACCCTAGCAGTACAGTGTCACCATGGTGACACTGTACTACTTGGGGGTGATGAAGATTGTTTTTTTTTTTTTTTACACTGATTGCTTTTACACCCATAAAGGCTGTAAAAGCAATCATTTCTCCTTCTCTCTGGCTGCAATCTTGCAGCCATTGAGAACACTGTGTGAGCTGTAATTGGTCACAGCTTGTCACATGGTACAAGGCTGTTGTGAATAGCCTTGTACCATGTGATCATTCACAGATTTCACACGTAGTAAGCAATGATGTCAGAAGTGACATCTTGCTTACTACTCTTCATGTGATCACTGATTGGCCAATCAGTGATCACATGATCGGGACCTCACACAGAGGTCCTGTACAACGATCTGTGTTCCACTGTGTCCGGAGGACACAGCGGGCACCGGATTGCGGTGCTGTGCGCTCCAAGGGAGCGTGCACAAGCAGGGGGCGGGGAGGCCGTTTATAAATGGCCACCCGCCCCTGCACGGCCACCGTCCGGCCGTTTATATACAACGGGCGGACGGGAAGTGGTTAATCTCCTTCTCCTAGTGCTTTCTATTGGCTAAACACAAAAACACTTGAAGCTTGACTATACATGTAAAATGCTTTATTCACTTCTAAAAAGCTTGTATATGCTTTCAAAACTCTCATAAAAAAAAACACCTAAAAATCGCTCTGCTCAGGTGTAAATGCAGCCATAAAATCGTAATAAAAGGAGGATCCTCTCTCCACTGTAAGTATGTTTTTTTGTTTTCTACAAGTCCCCTATGGCAGTGCCCAACTCCCTATGCCATTTGTTTGACAACAATTGCCTATTAGCTTTGAAAATGGCCAGAATTTGCAATTTTTGGACTTTATAAAAGGATTAGACAAGCAACCAACAAACTTGGGCTATTCCCTAATAAAGACACAGCTCTACATTGTCATGATGTCTAGCTGTGATGATACATAAATATTATAACGACAAATAAAAAACAATCCAGTCAGATTTTACCATTTAACAGTTTGGTGTGGTCAGATCAATAAAAAAATACTTTCCACTTTCTTTCCTGGTGACCCTGGTCACTAAGACAGAGAGAAATCAGAAATCAAAGATTTACAGTTGTTATTAGAATAGAGTAAGGTGGAAACTTCCCAATGGAAATGGCTGTTTTCATGATAGCTGTTAAAGGTGGGATTTCATCTCATGTGGAGAAAGCTTACTACCAATTCCTGCTTTTTCTGAATGAAGGGGACATTGCTCTAGTGCAGGGGTGGGCAAACTTTTTGACTTGAGGGCCGCAATGGGTTCATATATTGGACCCGGGGACCGGACCAAGAGTAGATGAATGATGTGTATGTGTCATCCATAGTAAGTATAGTAATATTCCCCCATAGTAAGCATAGTAATTAATCCCCCATATATTAATTAATCCCCCATAGTAATTCATCCCCCATATAGTAATTCATCCCCCATAGTAATTCATCCCCCATATAGTAATTCATCCCCCGTAGTAATTCATCCCCCATATAGTAATTCATCCCCCATAGTAATTCATCCCCCATAGTAATTCATCCCCCATATAGTAATTCATCCCCCATAGTAATTCATCCCCCATATAGTAATTCATCCCCCATATAGTAATTCATCCCCCATAGTAATTCATCCCCCATAGTAATTCATCCCCCATATAGTAATTCATCCCCCATAGTAATTCATCCCCCATAGTAATTCATCCCCCATATAGTAATTCATCCCCCATAGTAATTCATCCCCCATATAGTAATTCATCCCCCATATAGTAATTAATCCCCCATATAGTAATTCATCCCCCATAGTAATTCATCCCCCATATAGTAATTCATCCCCCCTATAGTAATTCATCCCCCATATAGTAATTCATCCCCCATAGTAATTCCCCCCATAGTAATTCATCCCCCATAGTAATTCATCCCCCATATAGTAATTCATCCCCCCATATAGTAATTCATCCCCCATATAGTAATTCATCCCCCATATAGTAATTCATCCCCCCTATAGTAATTCATCCCCCATATAGTAATTAATCCCCCATATAGTAATTCATCCCCCATAGTAATTCATCCCCCATAGTAATTCATCCCCCATAGTAATTCATCCCCCATATAGTAATTCATCCCCCATAGTAATTCATCCCCCATATAGTAATTCATCATCCCCCATAGTAATTCATCCCCCATATAGTAATTCAACCCCCATATAGTAATTCATCCCCCATAGTAATTCATCCCCCATATAGTAATTCATCCCCCATAGTAATTCATCCCCCATAGTAATTTATCCCCCATAGTAATTCATCCCCCATATAGTAATTCATCCCCCATATAGTAATTCATCCCCCATAGTAATTCATCCCCCATATAGTAATTCATTCCCCATAGTAATTCATCCCCCATAGTAATTCATCCCCCATATAGTAATTCATCCTCCATAGTAATTCATCCCCCATATAGTAATTCATCCCCCATATAGTAATTAATCCCCCATATAGTAATTCATCCCCCATATAGTAATTAATCCCCCATAGTAATTCATCCCCCATATAGTAATTCATCCCCCCCTATAGTAATTCATCCCCCATATAGTAATTAATCCCCCATATAGTAATTCATCCCCCATAGTAATTCATCCCCCATATAGTAATTCATCCCCCCTATGTAATTCATTCCCCATATTAATTCATCCCCCATATTAAGTCCCCAAGTCCCCCCTGTGTCAATTCACTTACCTTTGCTCCGCGCGTTCCTCTCACCGTGTTCCCGCGCCGTTCCGGTGTAGCATGAAAATCTGTCTCCTATGAGGATCTGCCCCCCTCGACGTATCTGCGCATGTGCCAGTTTCAGGCATTAGCAGCCGATTGGCGATCTCCGGCACATGCGCAGATACGTCGAGGGGGACAGATCCTCATAGGAGACAGATTTTCATGCTACACCGGTCTTCAGGGCGGGCTGTGAGAGGAGCCTAGCGGGAGCCTAGCTCCGAGGGCCGGATTAAAAGGTCCGCCGGGCCGTATACGGCCCGCGGGCCGTAGTTTGCCCATTGCTGCTCTAGTGGGTACACAGAAAACAGTGAAAACTTGATAGTGTTTCTATCCCTTTCCTACTCTACATTAAACTTGAAGACAACATTTTGGTTGCAGACAGTTACACTTTACCTATATACAAAATGATAACTATTGTACTTCATTTTCTCTGCTAAATCCTTGTTCAAGCTACCAGCACTGCTAATGGAATAAATCAGTACTGAATTTAAAAGTTCAAATGAGTTTTAACAAAGTTGCCCAGTGCTTTTTATATGTTTTCCCATTGCTTGATGAACACAATGCTCTTTGGACTAGGGATTACATGTTTCAAAAATTCCGAAAGTTCTTAGCCTAATCTGTCTACATAGTTGCAAGACTTTCATTACTACGGCCTATGCAAGCTCCCAAAACTCTACTTTGGATTCTCCTTGAGGCAGTTTCCAAGTGTATAAAGCAAATCTTGGACAGATAACAATATGAGTATTGGTAAGCAAATACTTTTTATAACCTTCCTGAACCCCTAAAAGGTATGGCATACTAACATTTAGAGTGAAATCCTTGGCTTATTATGGGATAGAAAGAAAGTTGGGCAACAGTCTTTTCCTGAATTAATTTGCTCAAAAAACACTGAACAGATATTTAAGGGCACAGGATACCCAAAAAAGACAAGGTGGTTTAGGAAGAGAAGTCACTGTCTGTTGTTAAATTTCAAACTTAGCTTCTTCCCAGGGGCGGACTGACCATTTGGAAACTCAGACACTGTCCGAGGGCCCAGGGCCAGTAGGGGGCCCCATGAGATGTCCCTGGTACCTTTTTCATAGACTTTTTTGAGTTTGAGCAAGGGCACAGGGGCCCCATGATCCCCTATTTCCCGGGGGCCCCATGAGTTGTCAGCCCGCCCCTGCTTCTACCTTTTTTAAGTAGATTTTAGGCCCTTGCTCCTATGAGAGCAGGCACAAGTACCCACTTAGATGAGCATTGAGATCTTCTTGCAATATTGACCTGCAACAACATCACCCATAGTCCCCAGGACATTTTTCAGCACATAAGATTTCCTCAAAGATGCCCCATACAGGCAGCCTTCCTGAATCTTTAGCACCCCCCCCCCCCCCTGAAGGGGCATGGCCAGAAAGAGAAAGAAAAATTTCACAATGGCATCCTCACCGGGCAAAAGCCCAGGAGGGAAGACCCTTGTGGAAAGCTGTTCCAAATATTTATCACCTTCCCTTAGCCCATATCACTGGACCACAACCTTAAGTAATTGGCTGGGGTAGAGAAATATTTTCATACATTGTTACCTCCTACACTAACTACTGGAAACAACTCAACATCAGATAATGAAGAGATAATGATCCCCTGCACACCGACTGGCAACACTGGGTATTCAAATATTCGAAAGAAAGCACCTTGTTTTGCCGCTCTCTCAACGGGCCGGGGAGGCCCACAGAGCAAACTGCAAAAACAACAAACAGAGAGCGCACCAAACTAGCACATTGTTATGCAGCATCCAAACATTGGCTCTGATGAAGAGAGAACATGTCAGCCATTTTGGTAGGTCTTCACACACTTGGGATTCACCCAAGAAACCAAACGTTCTCAAGTCATTATGGAGTTTAATATGCTTGTACATTTGTGTTGTTTCCGACTATAAATCTACTCTTTTTATCATTAATAAAAAAAACGATTGCGGTAAAGCGTTAGGTTGGTGCACCCCGTTTCTTGTTTTTGCAGACAACTCAACATCACCAGGCAGAAGTAATCACTGATCTGAGCTTAGGAGAAACCTACTAAGCACAGAAAAAAATGAACAAAGCTCAAGCTGGTTACAGCCAAGCTGCACAAACAATACTACATTTCACTAGGGATACTCCAGTTTACAACAGGTTTCCATGTTGTAAATATAAGTGTCAAAACTTCTAAAACATTCACCAACAGTGGCATAAGTCACTTCAGTACAGAAGCTGATCTTGGGAGGATGAATTATGCATTGGAACATATGGACTTTTACTTACGCTGTGAACTAAATGCTTTATCTTGGAAGTTTGTTTGGAACAATACGTTATTATTATTTTTTTGATGGAGTGGAGAAATATTTTACCTGTCTGTAAATGTAATTATTATTATACAGGATTTATATAGCGCCAACAGTTTGCTCAGCGCTTTACAATATAGCGGGAGACAATACAGCAACAATACAGTTCAGTACAAAAGGGGTTAGGAGGGCCTGATCCTTGGAGCTTACAATCTAAGACAGTGGTTCTCAACCTGTGGGTCACGACCCCTTTGGGGGTCGAATGACCCTTTCACAGGGGTCGCCTAAGACCATCGGGAAAACACATATTTCCGATGTGTAATGAACAGCTACTGTGTAGAAAGCAGCTACTGTGTTGAAAGCAGCTACTGTGTAGAAAGCAGCAGTATTGGAGGTAAAACAACACTCATGAATTATAATTACTGGGTAAATAATTTCATGGTTGGGGGTCACCACAACATGAGGAACTGTATTAAAGGGTCGCGGCATTAGGAAGGTTGAGAACCACTGATCTAAGAGGTAATACACTGTACCTCTTACAACAAAACTCTGTGAGTGAGTCATATACTGTAGATGCAAAGTAACAGCTGAGAAAAAAATGCTGTGTACTTGGCAGGTTATTAGATCAGTTAATTAATTCAGCCAGGTGTGGACATAGACAGATTTTGAATTTATGGCACTATATTACACCATCTTGCAAGATACACATTACCCAGGACAAGATGTTCTGCTTATTTTGTGCTTTTGCTCCTCTTCCTGGTCAGTAACCTACATCGCTCTAAGTACAAGGTGTTTTTGCAATTCACACACCTCCTAAATTTAAACAGAAAGAGAAAACACAGTGTCTATTTTAAATGATTTATGAACGAAGGAGTGTTATACAATTGGCGGAAGTGTCTTATTTGTGTATTTGAGTTACAAACAAATTGTGAGAATTTTGCAAATATCAATTAGTATAATGAAATGGTTACATATCACATGCAGTTAGCTTGTCAAGATACTTTTAAAAATGAAAACTACCTTATTATTTAAAATACAATGGAAACAGCGGAACACACAGAGCTGTATTTATAAAAGTAATTGCATGTCTGCACTGATGTAGTCTATGCATCATTCATTCTATTAGGATACCTCCATGGATAATAATACATGCAGAAAATGCAGATATAAAAGGTCAGCGAGGTTCAGTAGTAATTTTGGCTTAGGTGTTGGCTCTCAGACTTATTTTGCCAAAACAGACAGCAAGATACAATAGCAGAAAACAATAAACACTGATCTGAAATCTGACATTTGGTTGATTACTATGGGGGGGGGGGGCATTCATAATAGAGAGCAGATACTGATATCCACTCACAACTATGTACCACAATGTTGGTTGCATACTACAGTCTACATTTTACAGCCAATTCATAAAATGTGGGCCACTGTGTAGCTCTTGTGCTTGCCCATTGCATTCTTTTTGCTTAACCACTTCAATACCGGGACTTTCATTCCCTTCCTGCCCAGGCCAATTTTCAGCTTCCAGCATTGTCGCATTTTTAAATGACAATTGCGTGGTCATGCAACGCTGTACATTGATGAAATATTTATAATTTTTTTCACACTAATAGAGCTTTCTTTTGGTGGTATTTAATCACCACTGGGTTTTAAATTTTTCGCTAAAGAAACAAAAAAATACCAAAAATTTGGAAAAAAAAGTTTTTCTTTGTTTCTGTTATGACATTTTGCAAATAAGTAACTTTTCTTCTTCACTTATGTGCACTGATGAGGCTGCACTGATGGGCACTGATAAGTCTGCACTGATGGGCACTGATGATGATGCTGCACAGACAAGACAGGCACTGATAGGCTGCACTGTACTGATGAGGCTGCACAGACAGGCATTGATAAGCTGCACTGATGGGCACTGATGAGGCTGCACAGACAGGCACTGATATGCAGCACTGATGGGCACTGATAAGCTGCACTGATGGGCACTGATGAGGCGGCACTGATGGGTGGGCACTGATGAGGCAGCACTGATGGACACTGATAGGCAGCACTGATGGCCACCAGTAACCTGCACCAGTGATCTGCACTAAGTGCCCTGATTCAGTGTAAACAATGTACTGATAGCCTTGACAGTTATCGACTCTCCTTTTGTCACACAGACACAGCATGTGAGGAAAGCACTGCCGATAACCAAATCAGTTTACATGTGATTAGCTGTGATTGGACATAGCTTATCACATCACAAATGGCCACTGCGATTGGCCCTTTATCCTGATCTGTGATCAGGAGTCACAGAGTGCACCCAATGCGCACCCCAGGGGGCATGCAGGCGGCGGGGTTCCCAGAAATGGACAACCGAGCTTCCTGCTATAGCGCGGTCAGCAAGAAGTTAAAGTGGTAATAACCCAAAAACAAATATAATATTTCCTACACGCAGCAATGCTCACGGTGTGTAATTATTCGTGGTACTTCCCACCATGGTGGGACATGGTATACACCATGAGCATTGCTGGGTGTAGGAAGGATTGTTGTTTCGGAATACTGAAACAATTGGTGTGGAGCATGTTGAAACTTGGTTTATTGTCAGTGCACATGGTTATCATATTTGTTGTCTTTACCTAAACGGTGTTGCACTACGAAATATCTTCTGTTTTTTGGAATCATACTGCCCGTTTGGAGTCACAAGATGTGAAGATATGCTTGGAGGGAACTTAGTTGCAGCATGAAGGATAAAATGTAACCACAAGCACATTTGACCGATACTATTATGTAGGTCTAATCACAACAGTAGACACAAGGGAAGAAAATTGTTTTTGAAGCGAATGCCAGACACCTCACACAAGCACTATATTGTGGCACTCTATGTGGGACTGGGTCATTATTTTCTGACAGATTTTATTTGTGGATTCATGTTTATTGCTTTGTTGTTTCCTATGGTCCTGTATGTTCTTTGAGGACTTAGCGCACCACATTTATATTTATAATTATTTTTTTTAGTGAGAGTACACTTGGCGACGGGTGGTTGCAGCAATCTTCATATTTTTGATTTATTCACATAGCAATAATATTGTTTTATAATCATATAGCAGATTTTATAACCCAAAAAGAAAAATGTAATAATATATTACAGCTTACCAATGTGGTGGCTGCATTTGTTTTCTTTGTTACTCTTTTTTCCCCTCTGTTTTCATCTAGTGATCTGGCCAGTAACACGCCTTCTGTAACAGAGTACCCCACTCTCGGTAAAGGAGCACAGGGGCACCTTTGGACAGCAGCATTTTTAATCTGGGGGGGGAGAGGAGTGTTAGATGTACAAGCAGATTTAGATACACTAACAAAATTAGGCTAAACTCCAGTTCAAACTTTTTAAGCAGTTATAGCAACAATTTTTTTCCTTTTGGGATAAAGGTTTTACATAAATAAATAAAAGTTGAACATTGTAAGCACTCCTGTCAGTGGTAAATAGTTTGTCTCATCCATCTATTTGCTACATCTGCAAAGAGAGCTTGTTCGTGTGAAAAACAACAGACTTACCTGGATGGCAGAATACAATGATCATTGCTAGCGGCTATAGCCACCGGCAGTGGTCATTCGGGATAAACCCAAGAGGCTGGTGGTACTGAAGTTGATTGATGGATTGATTTAAGAACAATTAGCATTATTGCACTATGCAGAGAACCAACACAGGAAATGAGAATTAAGTATAAACTCTAAAGCTGGCCATAGCTGCATCAAATCTCAGATGGTTCCTGTTGAACTAGCTGAGATTCGATCCATCTATGGCAAGCTTTAGAGTTTCTACTTAATTCTCATTTCCTGTGTTGCTTCTCTGCATAGTGCAATAATGATAATACAATGTTCACAAAAAATTGCTAAAAGATCAGAATAAATCATTTCAATCTATTTGATTTACTACAAAGCGAGCCTGGCAAATTGTTAAACTGTCCATTTTGGTCACGAATTGACACGAATTGTCACGTATTGACACAGTATTTTTCATGATAGAGAAGCACTGCATGACTTTTTTTTTTGCTAAGCATCAATTCAGAATTTCAATAAATAGGGGTCACTCACTCCTGCCTAGAAAGCAGAACATAGGTAGACACTGCTGGGGTCTCATATGGGATTGACTGCAGCTTCCAATGGTTTTCTAACCAAATTGATTTTTACCTCTTCCCCATACACACTCAAAAACGTGGGTGGCCAGCAACGTGCCAATCCAGCCCTGTCAAGACATTGTCATTTCATGTTCATGTGCAGCATCAGAGTTTACTCACAGGGGAGATTTTTAACTTCATAATCCTAATCAGTTTAACCTTTTGTTAGTAATAATTTTAGTTGCTACGCTCCAGTGTTTTGTACAAAGATAAATCCTAAATTCTAAGTACAAATTACAGTGCTGGTTTCTTTATGTAAAATCATGTTTTAGAAAACAACATATACACTTGGCTAGAAAAAGGTGTTAAAAATGAAAGAAGCACGCACACTTGAATGGTGAGGGTCACTGGATAACTGAAAAAAGGCTGAAGCCTGTTATTGCCTTAACTCCCTGCCATTAACATGACTGCCTATTATTACCTCTCTGCATGAATGTTACAGTACAAATGTTATTCTGGCTTTATCACCTGCTGTCAAACTTGCTAATTTGGAAAAAACATTGTTTTTTTATTTTTTTTAACAGTAACTATTATATTGTATTTGGTAGCTTGTTTTCTATGCAGACCAGCATTAGCGGTAAACCCTCGTGGATTTATTGTGCTGCTTATGAAAGTAAAGCAAGGAAGAATTAGGTTGAGCTCCCTGCACGAGGATACATTGTCTGGGCTTACATGTGACTGCAAGAACATCCTCTTCCAGACACTGCACATGTCTGTAGATTAGGAAAAACAGCAAAACATTTGCCATGGCTGTTTCCAGTGAGCACAAATAATGCATTTCTGCTTGTTCTTCTTTTTATTATTATAATTACATTTATACGGCTTTCAGAATGCTTTTGAAATGGATCTCCCTTGCAGAGTATTTACAGATGAAGAGAAAAGCAGAACAGGGTGTGCTGGGATCATTAAACATTTACAATGTATATGCTACAATAAGAATCCCCCTTTTTAATTAAACTTTGCAGTAAAAAACAAACATTATTCAATTCTAGTACAGTAAAAGCAGCAGCTTGCTGTCACTGACTGCTGCTGCTGCTCTCCCATTGCAGTTTCCGCACTATGTACGCCCATATTTGAAAGTTAGCTCAGGCTGGGCGTGGCCTCTTTGTGGTTGTCAGAGAGCTGACTGCCTTCCCAGAGGTCTATAGGACGACTAAGTCCAAAAACTAGATTAACCACTTGCCTACAAGACACTTATACATTGACAGGCATCACTGATGGGCACTGAAAGGCAGCACTCATATATGGCACTGATAGGCAGTACTGATAGGTGGCACTGACTGGAACTGATAGGCGGCACTGACTGGAACTGATAGGCGGCACTGACTGGCACTGTTAAGTGGCACTGACTGGCACTGTTAAGCGGCACTGACAGGCAGCACTGATGAGCACTAATAGGCGGCACTGATAGGCGGCACTAACTGGCACTGATAGGCGGCACTTATTGGCAGCACTGATAGGATGCACTTATATTGGCAGCATTGATAGGTGGCACGGACTGGCACTGATAGGTGGCACTGAAAGGCAGCTCAGATGGGCACTGATATGTAGCATTGATGTGCACTGGTAGGCACTGATATGTGGCACTGATATGTGGCACTGATGGGCAGTGGCAGGTGGCATTGATGAGCACTGACAGCTGGCATTGATGGACACTGACAGGTGGCACTGCTGGGGCTACACTGACCATCAGTGTCCTGATGATCAGTGTAGATGTCCCCTCTGAGGACAGCTCATGAGGAGAGAAATACCGATAACCGGCATTTCCTTATTTACAAGCGTCAGCTATGATTGGACATAGCTGATCACATGACCGAGCCGACGTCTTTGGCTCTTTCCGTTGATCGTGATCTGCTGTGTCCGAGGGACACAGCGCACCACCAATCGCCCCTGGAGCCGCACACGTGCGGTTAGAGTGGGAGGACGTCATATGATGTCCTCCCAGAATGAGAGAACCGCCTTGTACCTGTCCATTACCTTATATGGCAGGCGGGAGGGAGGCGGTTAAGCTTCCTATGGGAGTGAAATTTTCCTTGGTTTGTGTGCAATAGCCAACCAAGTAGTAGATTGTTTATTTATCTGCTCTAGCCACTTTACCAGTTGTTTAGTGACTGATCAAACTCTTTGGGCTCATGAGTACACGGGGCATTTGGAAAACTCTTCTGAACGATGGAAACTGACTGCTGGAAAACGTAGGTTAAAAAACATCTGTTTTGCCACGTTTGCATACCGCGTTTACGAAAGTTTGCATTTAGAAGCGTTTTTTTAAGATAACCTTAGGAGATCTTCCAAAATGCCCAGAATGCACTGAAAAACAGTAAAAAATTAACTATTTCAGACATTTTGAGAGAAATAGAGAGAGCAGAAGTAGAGAGAGCAGTATGTGTTGAGATGACCTGTCTTTTCTGGTTGTATTCACTATGAATCCTATCATGAGCATAATGCAGCACGTTCTACCATTTTTTCCTCCATGGAACTGACTGCGCTGGTGTACTAGGTCCATTTTATTACATGGAAAACACTTTGCATGCATTTCTGATGATGAAAAAAGGTTCTGGACAGCATCTGGATATGAAACAGTTAAAAAACGCTTCTATATGCAAACGCTTATAAACGCGGTTAGCCGCATTTACAGGTATTTGGCATTTGAAACTCTGATAAAATCTACTCCTGAACGCAAGTTTGGTGCGTTCAAAAAAAACGACTGTAAACTCAACTGCCTGTAAGCGACTGTAAACGACTATGTGTAAATGGACACATAGGAAAACATTAGGGAGAGTTCAGGGGCTGCTAAAAAAAATGCAGAAAAGCTCCTGAACGTCAGCTGCAGTGTACATGAGCCCTTACCCATCAAAGAAAATATGGTTTCATCCTTAAAGTGGTTGTAAAGGTTCAAAGTTTTTTTCCTTCATACATTCTATGCATGAAGGTAAAAAACCTGTGTGCAGCAGCCCCGCTAACACTTACTTGAGCCTCCTTCACAATCCAGCAATGTGCATGAGAGTCTCGGCTCTCTGGGGACTCTCCCTTCTCATTGGCTGAGATAGTGAGCCAATGAGGAGAGAGTGGGTGGGGCCAAGCCATGGCTCTGTGTGAATGGACACGCAGAGCACCAGTTTGGGAGCACGCTTGCTCGGGTGCCCCCATAGTGAGCTGCTTTCTCTGGGGGCACTCGGCAGGAGGGAGGAGCCAGGAGCACCAGCAGGGGACCAGAGAAGAGGAGGATCAGGGGTGCTCTGTGCAAAACCATTGCTCAGAGCAGGTAAGTATAACATGTTTTTTTTTCTTTATTGCTTTTAACCACTTGCCCTCTAGAGGATTTACCCCTCTACCTGGCCAGGCCATTTTTTGCGATACGGCACTGCATTATTTTAACTGACAATGGTGCAGTCATGAAATGCTGTACACAAATGAAATTTATGTCCTTTTTTTTTTCCCCACAAATAGAGCTTTCTTTCGGTGATATTTGATCACCTGTGCATTTTTTATTTTTTGCACTATAAATAAAAAAAACTATTTTGAAAAAAAACAAACAATATTTTTGACTTTTGCTATAAAACATATCCAGTAAAACTATTTTAAAAAATCTAATTTCTTCAGAAATTTAGGCCAAAATGTACTCTGCTACATGTCTTTGCTTAAAAAAAAATCCCAATTCGTGTAAATTACTTGGTTTTCATGAAAGATATAGCATCTACAAATGGCGGTATACATACTGGAATTCGTTTTTTTATACTAGTAATGTCGTCTATCAGTGACTTATAGCGGGACTGTGGGGCATTCTGACACTGAGGGGGAACTGACTAACTGCCACTGACATCCCAGTGACACTAATACAGTGATCAGTGCTTATTATTATTATTATTATAATACAGGATTTATATAATGCCAACAGTTTGTTCAGCACTTTACAATACAAATAAAAAGCACTGACACTGCACTAATGACACTGGGCAGGAAAGGGTTAACATCTGGGTCGATCAAAGGGTTAACTGTGTGCTGTGTGAGTGTTTTGCTACGGAAACATACTGCTGTGTATTTCTCAGAGATATACACAGCAGCATGTTATTGCTGGCAGGAGAGAGACCTATGTTGTTTACACACAGGTCTCTCCCCTGCCAGTGATTCTCGGGAATCTCCATCCGGGATCCGGTGATCAACATCTGTAGCCGCGCACACCCACTCCTGGAAATGCAAAATTATGTGATTTTGCGCAGCTGTGCCGCCCTGTAGCAGTACTTCTGCTATAGGGCGGTCGGGAAGTGGTTAATATTACTTTAAAGTGTTTTTCCACTTTTGCAGTCACATTTGAGAAAACCCCATTAAATGTTTGTTATATGTGCACACAGCATACCTGAACATTTTTTAAAAATATTTCTTATCTTTTAGATGTCTCTTTGGGGAAGGTGTCATGGCTGACTGTTTCACTGTGGTCTGTCCCAACAGAAAGGCTGGTGCCTGGCTGAATCTAGTTCTCATTGGACAAGCCCAGAGTCTAAATGTTTAACCCTTTGCTAGAACAGACAGTGTCAGAATCTAGTGCAACTGATAAGATGGTATCTGTCCCCACAATACAGACAAGGTCAACTAGGGTAAAAACAGCTATCCAGCCCCTTCATAAACAAAGTAGAATTTTTTCCTTGCTGACATTTGCAGAAAATATCTAAAAAGACAAGCAGCAATTTTTAAATAATTTTTTACAGTTATGTGAATGGGGCACATAACACATATAAAATACAATATGTGTTATTCCAAATTGGCTGCAAAAGTGGAAATATTTATTTATTTCAGGTACTTGTATAGCGCCGTCAATTTACGCAGCTTTACATATATATTGTACATTCACATCAGTCCCTGACCCTCAAGGAGTGTACAATCTAAGGTCCCTAACTCACATTCATGCATACACATACTGGGGCCAATCTAGACAGGATCCAATGAACCTACCAGCATGTTTTTGGAGTGTAGGAGGAAACTGGAGTACCCGGAGGAAACCCACGCAGGCACAGGGATAACATGCAAACTCCAGGCAGGTGGAGCCGTGGCTGGGTTTTGAACCAGCGACCCTAGTACTACCAGGCAGAAGTGCTAACCATTTAGCCACTGTGCTGCCCCTGCGAAATACAGGTGTACCTCGGTTTACTACTTTAATGCGTTCTGTGGGACTTTTCGTATTGCGAAAAATTTGTAAACCGAAACACAGTTTCCCATAGGAATGCATTGAAAACCAATTAATTTGTTCCGGAGGTCAGAAAAAAGTAAAAAAAAAAGTCTTTTATCTGTTCAACACTCTTTATAAAGTGCACTTTAAAGGCATAAATACTGTAAAGGGACATGATTAAAAATTAGATCGTAAATGCATTGAAAACCAATTACTCTGTTCCGGAGGTCAGAAAAAAGTAAAAAACAGTCTTATCTGTTCAAAACTCTTTATATAGTGTACTTTAAAGGCATAAATACTGTACAGGGACATTATTTAAAAAAAAATTGTAAATGCATTGAAAACCAATTAATCCATTCGTATTGCGAAAAAAAATTTGTAAACCGAGGCATTATTTTCAATGGCTTTTCATTCGTAAACCGAAAATTACGGTAACCGAGGCGTTCTTAAACTGAGGTACTCCTGTACACTTTAAAGCGGAGCTCCACCCAAAAGAGGAAGTTCCGCTTTAAGGACTGCTTCCATGCTCCCCATTAAGGAGTGGCACCTTTGGGGGGTGGGTACCCGAATTTGACAGGTACCCGCTCCCACTTCTGGTCCGATCAGAAGCGGAAGGTGTCCTCCCCCCTTCCCTCCCTGTAGTCTTTTGGGAAACATGACAGGTCCCAGAAGACTACAGGACCATTCACGAAGTGCAAGTCTACTCGCGCATGCGCAAGTGAGTACCCGGCTTTTGTAGCTGCTGACCTTTATTTTTTGATAGGGTGAGTGGAACTCCGCTTTCATGTGGACAGTTATACAAGACTGGACACTGATCTTTTTGTGTGAATAGTGTACATAACAGCTTTTGGAGCTAACTTCCCTCATAAATACAAAATAAGGCCTATAATGTATAGGTGATTAAATAACCACCACAAACCACCATTTGTGTCCTTTCTTTCAATGTCCTTCTTTGATCAAACATTGCTTAAAAAGTCCCTCCTCCAATAATTGTCCCCCTTTGAAGGTGTTGACTTACAGAAGGATCAGAGAATGTTAACCTAACAGAGTAACACCAAGATAAAAGTGGATAAAGATAGTAGGGGAAATTATCATGCACATTAAGTATGCAGGCACAGTTAGGAAACACAAGAGTATTAATATTATTAAAGAATATATAATCCCAACATTTCATATTCCTGATATGTGCCTGCTGTACCATGTACTTGCATGAAAATGTATCCTGTTCCCTTTCTATTGCTTCCTTTATGTGAAATCCCTGGTGTTCCTGCCAGTCCCTCTGCTTTCCTATTAAAGGCTGACCACACTAGGCATGAGAGCACAGCACGGTCAGTTCTCTAGCTGTGCTGCTCTGAATCCAATGCTGATCAGATTAGTGCTGATTTGCCCCCCTCCCCTCAGCCTGCACAGCAGCATAAGATCATTGTACTGTTGTTTCTCTCCCCTCAGCTCAATAACCACTTCAAGTCCAGACACTTTCTCACCCTTCCTGTCCAGGCCAATTTTC